ATCAGTCATAAAAATGGAAATGAGTCCCAGGTGAGCTGACTGTGGATGTGTTTTTGTTTACAGGGTTTTATGATGACGTGCGCCAAGCCTGGGCTACAGAAGACTCGTTGTGTATGTGTGAGGTAAATATCTTGTAAATACAAAGACTGCTGGACTACCATAGCATATTAACAGCAGCACTTTCAGATTCTCCTGTTTTTCAAAATCAAAGTGAGAAAGATTCTCCTTTCACAGAGTCTTTTGCTTGCCTGGAAAAGTAAAAGTTTACATCTTCACCTTAGCTACTTTGAGATGTCAATTTGGAGGTAAAATTTGGTTTCTGAAATAACTTCATTTACTGAAGTAGAATTGCATAAACAATACATTAACCTTAGCCTTTAACCTATATAAACTGTGCATGGAGATTCATGTGCCCACACAAGTGTGAATAGAAATTTAATAACACTGCTTAAATGTTGGTCCTTGGGCTTTAGATGAAAAGCAACCTATGGAACAAATTTCAGATTTATCTTTGATAGGCTTTGCTCAAGGCACTATTTTTTCAAATTTATATGCTTTTATTATATAAGAAACTAATAAAGGCATAAAATATGAAAGTGTTAAGTAGTGTGTGATTAGTTTGACTATGGTATTTCCTATTAAGGGTCATTTCCTCTGTTTTCTAATAGGCAGAAGAAGTCTTGAGACGGGAGTTAGAGAAGAAGGAAACACCAGGATTATATTGCTTGCTTGGTGATATTCTTAGAGATCACCAGTACTATGACAAAGCATGGGAGTTATCCAAGCATCGCAGTGCCCGGGCCCAGCGCTCGAAGGGCCTCCTTCATCTTCACAACAAGGAGTTCAGAGAATGTGTGGAGTGTTTTGAACGTTCAGTCCAGATCAACCCCATGCAGGTTAGGAAATAAACGCAATTTTTTATACTTTGCAAGTTATTTTCTAATTGTGTTGTGCCTTTAAAATCTGTTTCTTGGAATGTTAAGCAGGTTAACTCTGTTCACAACTAAAGTAATAGCTTGTACTTTTTTTTTAATGTGTTAATATGGTAAGTATTGCTGCTCTTCAAAGTGAGAGATTAAGAGCGCTGTCTGGGACTGAGTCACAAACAAGGTGCTATGAGATCCTTTTTAGGATGCTGAAGGGTACTGTACAATGTTAACATTGGTTGGTGTGCAGTTATGAATCACAGGATAAACCCAGAAATTTCAAGTAAGAATTCATAGTGTGAAAACATTCTTACCTGCTGAGGTCTTTCTGAGTTCTTTGCAACAGAATTGTTTTGTTATTTTTCTGTAGTCAAAAAATACGTGAAAAGTAGGAGCTAGCATTTTCCAAGGAGTACCTCAAGTCTAAAAAAGTTGCAAAGATCCTGTCTAGAAGCAGTAAAATAAGGGACATAGGTATATATGCTTTTATGTCTAGGCCTTCTGCGTGTACCTACGACTTTTCATCCCCGTTATCTACAAGAGCCTACGACAGCTGAAAATGGATAACTACTCCCAAATGGTCATGATCATGGCATGTCTAAATAACATAAATCAGCACTATGCAGGAGGACTTATATATAAGTCTATATATTTGAAAAAGGACTTTTTGTTATCTTTGATTTTGGACACTAGTCCTAGCTCTATGTCCGCCTTAGCTTTCCTGACGGCCCCCCTACAGGCCGAGCAGAGGAGGTATACTCCTCTTTGGAGATAGCACCCCACTTCCATCGGGTGTACGCCACCTTTTTGGCAATCAGGCATTCCCGTACACCCTTGGTGAGCCAGGGGGGCTTTCAGGCACTCTTGCCCCCCTTGCTTTTTGTTGGGATGGTCACCCCTTGGGCCCTGAGTATCGTTTCCTGCCACATGCTGGAGCCGACACTACTGCGTGCCCCCTGCCATGGCAGCAGCTCCAGATCTGGTTGAAGCATAAGACAAGCAGTGGCGGCCAGCAGCCAAAGAAGCAGGAGTGCAACAGTGGCGATGAAGACCTTGTTAGCCCTTGCACACCCTCCTGCCACCGATTAGCTTTCTGCAACAATCCACTCCTCAGGGCCATGCCAGTAGTCCAGCAGGCTGGATAGAGTGGCTTCATTGGTGAGATTAGGCCCAAAGACTGTATGTTGGACACCCCTGATCTAAACCTATCCCATTGTCACAGAGAGAGTTATGCTGAAGCAAGTTCTGTACTCAGCTGTAAGAACCAAAACCAGGCATTCAGCTTGTCACGTCAAATTAATTTCCTTTGTGAAACATCTGGTAATGGTAACCTTATACTTTACAACATTTTGCAGTAACTTATTTTAATGTCTGTTTTAAGTGTTTAATCAGTTACTCCACTGGAGAGGTGATTTTAGTGAAATTGGCTTTCTACACTGTTCCTTACAAGTTCTAAGGTATATAGCTACCATTTAATTTGGCTACAGGAATCTCTCCCCAGTGCCATGAAGTTGTTTGTTCTCTATCTGCCTTTGAAGAGATCTAGAACCATTATTATGCTTGTGGCTGTGGCCGTTCATTCATATTATGGTAATGTCTAAAGGCCTCAGTCAAGATCAAAGTCCTGATCTGTCTAGCATTGACTGTGAACATATCGTCAAAGATATTAAGGTAAACTTTCCAGCAAAAGTGCTCTTATTTAGGTGACCTGACCAGAGGGAGAGCACTTTGTACCTGAATGCATATCATCTCTCCCAACTACACAGTTTGTCCAGTGAGACCTTGCTTCTTACATATTTCCTGGACCATTTTGGCTACAACGCTCCAAGCAGGGAGTCAAACCAGAATCAAAGACCCAGTTTGAACCAGTTCTTTGACACTTGATACCTCCTCCCAGCTAGACACTGAGCCATTGAGGACTACTTGTACTTTTACAGTACTTTCATCTAGTCTGTATTTCCCTTTTGTGTTAATGAGAATGTCGTGAGAGATGGTATCAAAAGCCTTGCTATAGTCAAGGAACATAACATCCACTGCTCTCTCCCCATCCTCAGAACCTGTCACCTTAGTCATGGTGAATCCATGCTGGCTGTTCCTGATCACCTTGTTTTCTTCTTGGTGCTTCACAGTGGAGTCCTTGAATACCTGCTCAGTGATCTTTCCAGGTATCAAGGACAGGCTGACTAGTCTGTAGTTCCCTGGTTTTATAAGGGACTTGTGTTTTCTCTGTTCTTCCTTTTACTTTCAACATAGTTTTAGAATCCCTTTTAATTGCCTTTTATGTCCCTTACTAGCTGCATCTCAAATACTAGTTGTAGCACATTTTCTCTGTATTATAAGGGAACAGAATAGGAATGAAAGGAGACCAGCCCACAAATGTAAGGGAAGGGGAGAAGAAGAGAAGGAGCTGCTTGTGCTCTGTTTTCTTCTGACAACCTACCAAATAAAAACTAATTAGTAAGTAAATAGTTGTAAAAGGTGGCATTCATGCAACTTCTCACTGATCCTCCCAGGAAGGACTGCTGTATCCCTTCCCTCCTCTTGCAAAACCAACTATTTAGCTGCTCAACAAGTGACCATTAGTGGGCATGTTTAACCTCCGTGAAGAATAGATAGACTTCCTTTTGCATATATTGTGAGTCAAGACAACACTTGGTTTAACAAATGCATGGACAAAAATGGAAATGCTTCATTCAGAAGAAGTTGAAATCAATGGAATTATTCTAGAATCAGAGTTTGCATATGCCAGAAACTGAAAGGTCAGTTAATCAATTGGACTCCCTTCTTAAAGCTCATGACCTGTCCAGAGAGAAAAGGAGATCTGGACAAAAGAAAGCCCCTGAAAAGATAGGGCCACATCATGAGTCATTTGCAGATGAGCCATATCTCAATAAGAAGGAAGACACATTCAAATACTGGGAACCCCAGAAAAATGCTGTGCATGAACTGTATCAACTGGCAGAAATTGTAATGGCAGTTCCAGGAACACAAGTGAGTGTTGAAAGAACCTTTTCAGCCTCAGATTTATTCTGTATGCCCAGAGGTCCAATATGACAGAGCAGATATCAGAAGGATGTTATTTTAGTTTGATCAGACAAATTGTTCATGAAAAGTAATTGTTTTGACAACACATAAACCCTGCCAAAGTTGTGTAAAGTTGAAGTCAAATGCAGTCAAGTTAAAAAACTACTTGTGTAAACTTTAAGTATTACAAAGTAAAAAATATTTGTTTAATAGCCTATTTCATATTCTGAAATTAGTAAGTTACCTCTGTGCTATACATGAAAGAAATTAGAACAAGTGTGAACTAGTTATCCAACCCACAATTTTTTTTTTTTTTTGATAGCTTGAACCGGAACTGAACTTGAACCAACTTAATTCATCTGAATCAAACCCAAATAAATACTGGTTCGGTTCCCTAATGCTAGTTTTATTACTGAACGTATAGTTAAAGGTAGTCCCCATTCTGAAGAGTTTACCTGGATGAGATGGGTGAAGGAAATAATATCCCTATGAATGACTGGTGCCCCCTGAGACTAGGGGAGCATCATGGTGGCAAGTGGTGAGCGAGGACTGCCTGCAGATGCCACCAGCCATGTCAGTGGCAAGGGGGGGCGGGTGGCAAGCAGTGACTGCCCACAGAAGCCGGTGGTGGCTTTGGCAGCTGCCAATCTCAGGGGTGTCACGTGTCTGTCTCCCCCACGTGTCGCCTATGATTATCCCTATTGTACAGATGGCTAAGTGAGGCATAGAGATATTAAGTGACTAGCCTGTAGTCACATAACAAGTCTGTGGTAGAGCAGGAAATGAGCCCAGATCTCCAGAGTGCCTTAACTGTAAAACCATAATACTCAGTTTGAAGAACTTTTACCCAAGCTCACCCTTTCTAAATATTAAGATAATTGGAATTTTTTTGTAGTCTTTTTTGTTTGTTAGAAATATTTTTCTCTTTCTCTGCTTTTGACACTCTTTGGAATTAGTGCAGCGTGGGACCTTACAGTTTTAACTGGTTTTATTATATACACCTAAACCTTCCCCTCTTCATAAAGAGATACGTTTTTAGTCATCTTCACTTTCTGGACTGGTCTTATGTTCAATTGCAGCTCCAACAAGACTCCTCCTACAAAGATTTCAGCGGTCTGTATTTATTTTCTTCCTGCCTTTATGATCTGTTACAGTACTCTTCATAAGTGTTCCCCAGGCCTGTAAGATGTGATATAGTTTCCCCCCCACCAAAAATCTCTTCTCTTTTCACAGCCAGTACTTGGAATTCCATACAAACTAATCTTCCTATCCCATGCTCCTTATTCATGTGGGCACCAATGACAC